GGTATTGGGGAGGGCATGTATTGCATGGAGCACTAGGAGTGGTGCACAAAGAATGAGTTTTGGAACACTGAAAAAAAGTAATAAAATTCAAAAAAGAAAAAAGAAAACCTCCATTCAGCAAGGTATATTCTATACAACCCACAGTCCCCAAACCCATGGCACATTTTTCCTTGGTGTTATTTTGGCTCCAAGACACCAAAGGTTTAGAGAAACCTGGTAGATGTTTCCTTTGGTTTTCTTCTATGTACTAAGAGATTGGCTTTATGACCTGTGAGGATATTCTCTTTGGTCTCCACCATTCAGAGGATGCACTCACTGGGGTACACTTTGGAGGCCAGCGCAACACTCTGGGCATCCAAGTCTCTGTCTCTCTGTCAGGTTGTGCCAGTTTTCAAGGTGTTTGTCATGAGAGGTTCCAGAACCATGAGAACCTTTGTGGTCTCGACCCTCATTGCTTGTTGGTGCTGGAGAGTCTCATTCCAGAAGCACCTTGGCGATGTCACAGGGGAGAGGTCTGTGAGTGGAGACATCTCACATTTTCATGGGAGGCTGAAGACACCATTGCCCCTATACACCCTCACTGCCTGTGCACTGAAGGGCTTTGCTTTTTTAGTAAAGAAGGAGTAAGGGGAGTAAGTAAAGGAGTAAAGGGGAGGAAGCTTCTGGATCATGGAGGCTGCATTCCGTATGCCCTCTGTGGACACCTCCTGTTTCCTGGGCTCAGTCCCTAAAAGGCTTATTGGCTTGTTGCTAATAAGCGATCCTCCTCATCGATGGCCAGATGATGGATCCTTTAAACTACCAAACTACATCTTGAAAAACCGTGTATTTTCTAAAGGGCTCTCAATTGTCCTATTAGTATCATTGCTAGCCTTAAGGACTCCCTTGACAAGATAGAAGAAGTTCAACTTTCAGACAAAAATAAGGATTCCCAAGCAGTATAAATTCCCCTTCCTCTCTTCCTTGTTTCTTTTAGTTTCATTGAGTTTTTCACTGACATTATAGTAGCTTTTTGTTTTGTTTTGTTTTGTTTTGTTTTGTTTTGTTTTTGTTTTGTTTTGTTTTACTTCTATATGTCACTCAGTCTCATCTCAGGAAGTGGACGCTTCATGCCCTTCCCCTCCCCTGCATGGCCCCCACCCGCCTCCCCTCTGGGAAGCATTCACTTCTTCACTGAAGTAAGAGTCTGTTTCTGGTTTGTCCATCTTTTTTTTTTTTCTTTATTCATTTGTTGTGTTTGCCTTTCTAAACTCTGGCCTCATGTGCCTGTCTTCACCTCCCTTTCCCTACAAGATTTACAGAGATTGCTCTGGACTGATCTCTAGGTTCAAAGCATCCAGGTTGCTCCTATCAATGCTGAAAGCCAGAAAGCGAATTTCACAAGAGCATCGCGAACTGGCAACAAGGTTTACTTTGCTCCTTCCTTCCAGGGCTTGGTACTCGGGACCTGCCAGCCTCAGGAATTCTTGTACAATATGTTTACAGGTGTATCCTCGACCCCCGCCGCAAAAAATTCATGTCCCCTGGACAGGAGCAGGACTTTTAGATTATAAAACCTTTTTACTTCCACTTTGAGAAGGTCCCACCTTTGTAGTTCAGATGTCTCTGGTGATCTGAGTGGCCCAGTGAACAACCAGAACAAAGATTGTCTACTTGTGAGCTATTGTGCTGATTTCTCTGAAGTGCACATTTAGTTGTTCAGGAAAAGGGGCAGTTTTCATTCTCAATGACTCCAAGTCAGAAAGGTGTGAGAAAACTCAAAACGTTAGTGTGGAGACTAACTGTTTTCAGGTGTTAACTAACTAGTTAACTAACTAGTTAACTAACTAGACTCTTAGGGGGGTGGAAGACACTAGACGAAACCTGGTCCTAGTCGCGTTTATACTGATTAGTATTAAAATCTAGTAGGTACCACGATGTGTTATTGAAACATCTTTTGCCTCTAGTCACCCTCATTGTTACCAGAGATAAACAAGTTAACATTAATTTCTTTGCGAAATAAATCTAGTTTCCAAAAATGTGGCTTGATCATTTACGTAAGTGCAGCAAGAATTGCGCTGTATGTTAAAACTGCTTTTTTTCTAAGAGTATCTCTACATAAGAGGTGTCTGGGTGACTCAGGCAGTTGGGTGACCAGCTCTTGATATCAGCTCAGGTGGAGATATCAGGATTGTGGGATCAAGACCTGCATTGGGCTCTGTACTCAGGTGGTCTGCTTCTCTCTTCCTCTGCTTGTCCCCACCCCCCAAATAAATAAGTAAATAGATAGATAGATAGATAGATAAAATATTAAAATAAATAATCTCTACATGAAATTTAACAGGGTAGAAGATAGACCGTACCATTTTATTTTACATTCTGCGTACTTTTTAAATTCCCTTTTCTAAAAATCCACAAATAAATATAAAAGTTTCAAACCTGCTCAGTATTTCACTAGCTCCCTCTTGCCAAGGAGATGGCAAGTGGTGCACGAAAGAAGAATGTTTCCCTGGGTCAAGGGTCAGGTTCACTTGGACACACAGTCAGCTCTGGTCTCCTAATCCCACACCGGGACGTGTCTGCATCCAACGCCTGAGTTCCTCCACGGTGTGTGTAGAAGATGGTGCTGGTGTACTGAATTAAGAACAAGCTGAACAACCTGCTGAATGAGGAGGCAAACGCCACCCACATGGGTGTGCAGGGAGCTCCCTCCACAGGCAGCCTCCCATTTTGGGGACATGAAGCACCCAAGGTCATTTTAATAGAAGGCACAGTTTCAATACAACCACACAAAGGAAAGAGAGTCACTAAGTTTATTGCTTACAACTGTAGGGGAGAGGTGCCCAGTGAGCCTGGGAGGGCGGTCCTCCATCCCAGACCACGGAGGAGCAGGAGCCCCAGAGCAGGGTGCCAGGTCCTCTTACTTACACCGTGGACCGGACAGAGGTCACTGATTTTTCCTGGGCTCAACTCCAAGTGGTTATTTTGAAATGTGCATCAAGTAAAGCAAAAAGGGAACTTATGGAAGAGTTCTAAGATTAGAGCCTTCTCTAAGCTCTAGATTTCGGGGGTGAGCAGGGTTGCCTTACTATAAAATGCCTGGGCAGCAGCTCGTCAGAACAACAGCTGATTGTTCGCAAAACTTGTTTCACTCGCCCCAAATGGCCATGGAGAATGTGCGCTTCTTCTGATTGATGGACAGCTGGTTCTTCCTCAGCTCAGGTCCGGTGGTTTGAACAAGGATGCGGCAGATGTTCAAATCCGTGTCCGGACACCATGAGTTCACGAAGGTCTCCCAACCCGGGCCGTAGTGACACTGCACGGTCACTTGCAGATGGAAGGAGAAGAAAGGAAACGATGAGGAAAAGAAAAAGTTAATGAATTAGAGAGCAAATATAAAATAGAGAAGATCAAAAAACCCAACAATGGGCTTTTCAACGCAGCAAAACCCTCGCAGGATATTTGTGATGAAAGGAGAGGTCTGAATAATCAATAATCAAAACAGGTACATCACACAGTATCCCGGGCATAGTAAAAAGAAGGAAAGGCAATAAGGGGATAGGATAATAAAAGGATAGCTAAACAACTGTATGCCAATAAATTTGAAATTTTAGGGGGAGTAAACCAATTTCTGGCAAAAATAGTGTGATATCCTAAAAGATATTTACAAAAGGAAATAGAAAACCTGAATCATCTTGTAGCTATTTCAAAGAATCAAATCCGTTATTAAAAACCACTCCAAGGAGCCCCTGGCTGACTCAGTGGGCAGAGCGAGTGACTCTTAATCTCGAGGTTGGGAGTTCAAGCCCCACCTTGGGTGTGGAGCTTACTTAAAATAAATAAGTGAATGAATGAGTGAATGAAGGAATGAATGAATGAAACATCTCCAAAAGAAACCTCCAGACCCTTAGAGCTTCCTGTTGGGTATCTGCTAAATATTTAAGGAAGTAACGGTGTCTGTCCTAAACAAAAATTCCAGGACGTAGGAAAGGAAGAGGCAGTCCCAAACCCATTTAATGAGACTAGCATGCTCTTGATGACAAAATCTGACAAGGGCACTGCAGAAAAGAAAAGTTATACACAACAAAGTCAGTCTTCAATGTAAATCTCAGAGTTCGCAACACAAAATCAGCAAACTGAATCGAGAGACTTAAGCAAGATAATACATCATCACTAAATTGGGGTTATCCCAAGAATGCAAAATTCTTTGAACATGAGAAATTCAGTAAGTATAATATGCCACGTTAATAGAGTCGAGGAGAAAAATCACGTGAGCATCTCACAGATGCAGACAAAAGTCTTTGATAGATTTTAAATAGTCCCTTAACTAGGAAGGCCTTTCCAGACTTTAGGAGTCAACCACAGCACCCCAACTGTGCTGGGCCTCTTCCCTCTGAGACCGGACTATGGAACAGGGGGTGGGAATAGCCATCAGGAAGTCTGGCCCCAAACTCCAGAATGCACAGGGACACAGGGGCACCAGAGCTCGAGGAAAGCATTGGCAAGAATCGGGGTCTCTGGGTCCTGGGGAAGAAGGTCCCTTTAGCCCAAGGACTGAAACTGGGACCATCCAATTCCATCTCCATGGACAACAGACTCAGGCACTGCGCTGTGCAGAGAAACACCTGCCCAGAGAGGCTGGATCCCGTCCTGGAGGAAGTGGCAGGAGCCATGAGAGCATCAAAGAGAAGCCCTCTCCCTCCCAACTCAAGGGGTAATTTGGGGTCCTAGAAGAATTCAGGACTCAACCACTTTGTGTGACAGTTCACTCCAGGTGACACAAGTCACTGGAGAGGAACCTCAGGGAGCATCACAGAGCAGGTCCTGAAGACACATCTACACACACACGCACACACACACGCACACTCTTACCTGGGTCAATGGTCACTTTAACATCGACCCCAAGGTCCGTTCCAGACTTCTCGATCCCACACCAGTAAGTGTCTGCACTGTTCCACCTGAGGTCCTCCATGGTCACGGTGAATGTGCGTGATTTCCAGTTGTCCTTGATGGACACTCGGTCACCCTTCGCTTCCTGCTCTGATCCATCGGTTTGAACGAGGATATGGCAATCACTCCACTTGGCTCCTTGACACCACCACTTATGGTAGGTCTCCCACCCGGGTTCATAGCGACACTGTACGGTCAGTGAGCCCTGCAGTGGGCCACTCACTGCACTGGACACTGCTCTGAGGGCAGAGCCTGGAAAGACAAGCCAGTGTGCTTGTCACACCACACGCTACCCCCTGAGGGCAGAGCCACAGCCTCCTACATCACAAGTAGCCCCAAGAAACCCAAGTGCCTGATGAGTTGAGTGACAGTCAAAGAGGGAATACACCTTCCACAAGACAGACCTCTGTCCTTCAAAACTCCACGGGTCAAAGCCACCACAGAAATCACCTAAGAGCACAACTCTACACATCAGAGAAACAAGAATGTCCCTACAGAGCAACAACGGCATTTGATAATCCACCCCTCCCCCTCCCTGTAGTCAATGTCATCTGGAAGCAAATGACCCAAGCGAAGGCATGGCCCCAGTCCACTTCAGCCCACTGTCCTCGTGCGAGATGTGGGCTCTGTGGTTTCAGACCTTTTCATTTTTCTAGAGTAGCCAGGAATCTGGATTTTGTGTGAAACCTCTCAACTTGAAAACACTGGTGACCAGCACAGAAACAGAGCAAACGACTTTCCGTATCTTTAGAATCCTAAGAAATAGCTACAAAACTCTCTGGCAAATTCTTGATTGGAACAAATACTTTGATGACTGAAAATTGTTTTCCCCTAAATATTGACTATTCAAGTGCTTTGATAATTCTTGAAATTCTTCTAAAGTTTTGGTTCTTTTTTTCCCAGAGAGTTTATCTATTCCATGGAGTATGTGTTAGCCTAAAGTCCTCCATTTAGAATGTATCCTTTATAATTAAAATGGTCATATCCCTTTCAGTTACATGCTCTGACCACAGGTGCTGTGTGATTTTTGTGGATTATACCTGCTGCAGGATGTCGTCCTTCTGTTTCTACTCTTCCTGCACATTTTTACACATTAAACCTGTTTTGAGATGAATTTGTGTTACTGTTTTTATTTCCTCAATCATTAATTTCTCATGCGGATAATTTTATTCCTCTTCTTTCCTCCAGATTACCACTTGGGCTCTTATTCCAATTTGCTGAGTTAAAGACAGAGACAATTTTCTTCCTTTCTAAAAAGAACTAAAGTGTGTGAAAGGCAAAGAACTTACTTTTGTTGACTGTACAAATTCAGATATAATGCACTTATCATGAATTTGAAGTGTATACCTCAGTGGTTCTTAGGGTATTCACAAAGTTGTGCCAAGAAACCCTGTACCCCATTGTTGTTCCCCATTCCCTCTTCCCTGAAGCCTTTGACGACCACTAATCTACGTTCTGTCTATAGATTTCTCACTTCACACATCAGCTGTCCGTGACAGTAAGACTGCTCTCCCACCTTCCAAATCTCTGGCAGGTGCTTCCAGGGACAAACTCCAGCCCATATAAGGAAGGTGATCCTGGAGGGAAGGCAATTCCCAGGTTTTGCTCAGGGATGCAGAAGAGGACTTAGGAGGGGCGGTAGTGATATCAACATCAACAGATGAGCTTATGCTCTCTGCCCCTTGATCAATTCTGTCCCTCTATTGTCGAGGACTGGATGTTTGTGTTGCCCCACAATTCCTGTGTTGCTGTCCCAAGCTCTAACGGGATGGTATGTGAAGCTGGGGCTTTGGGAGGGCATTAGGGCTAGAGGAGGTCATGATGGGGAATCTCAGGATGGGACCAGTGCTCTCATGAGAAAAGACACCAGAGAGCCTCTCTGTCTTTCTTTCTCTGTGTCTCTGTCTCTGTCTCTCCCTGTCTCTCCTTCCCTAAACACAAGGTGGAGGTCACCGTGAGAAGGTGGCTGCCTGGAAACCAGAAAGAGGACTTTCATCGCGAACTGAAATCAGCCTGCACCTTGATCTTGGACTCTCCAGCCTTCAAACTGTGAGACAAGAAATTTCTCTAGTTCAAGCCCCTCGGTCTCTGCTTTTTTGCTCTTACGACTCATAAGCATTTGTAACTCTTTTATGAACTTCCAAGTCCAGAAAATAATAACATGCAAGTTTTCCCAATAAGTGTTGTACATGCCTATCTCTCCCTCAGAGTGTTTTCCTTTTACACATATCATGAAGAAGTCCATGGATGAGGCAATGGGGTGATTTTATTTCCCATGATGTCCTCCTTCCCAGAAGAGACACTGCCTGCATCCTGCTCCAAGCTAAGAGATTGTGAAGGAGGAGAAGGAACAGAGTTGGGGGGTCAGGTGGTCCTACCTTACTAGCTCCTGTCTTCTCTGAGCCTCAGGAAACTGCCTCCAAGGATTTGACTGTCATCCAGCCCAGAAATAGACACCTTCTAACCTCTGGTCTTCCCTCCTGGTTACAACCCTCAGTAAGTCTCAGAGGTTGTGCTTCTGACACTAGACAACCATCTGGTCACTGTCATCCAGAGCAGAGACTCAGGAAGCCTGATGTGCGGGACTGAACAAGTCTTCAGAGAGCCTGTCACACCCTGCGTTTCTGCCGGTCCTCCTCCCTCTATGCCTCTTCAGAAGAGAAGGTCTCAACTCGAGCTACAAGTCAAGATCACTGCGCAGGCTTTTAAATGATCCAGATGTCTGAACCCCACCTTGACTGAGTGGGTCTCAGCTGGAGCCTGAGCTTCTGAGCTCCTCCAAAGTGCCTCAGGAATTGACGTCATGCATGTATGTATACATTTGTGCACGTTTACGTCTGTCTCTCATCTACCCATCCATCCATCTATCCATCATCCAGTATCTGTCCATCCGTCTGTCTGCCAGGGATGGCAAACAGTACCCTAAAGACAAATACCGTATTACTTATTTTTACTATCTTTCCCCAACTCCTAACTTAGATCCTATCAGGAAAAAAATTTTTTTTAATTTTTTTAACAAGAAAAGGTCTGGATGAGTTAAAGTCCCTACCATTTCCCCCAGGACAGACCCGGTCTGTTTCCCGCCCAGCTCTGTAAGTGCTATGTCCTGAAGCACCCAGCCCACTCACCTTGGACGACAGGAAGGAAGAGAACCAAGAGCAGCCACATATCCTGCTGCCTGGGTTGTCCACCTGGTGCTCAGCTGATGCCCGCTGCCCTCCAGGGACTGGAACTGAGCTCAGAGGCAGAATGCCTTCTATTTCTCTAAATCGTCCTTTTAGAGTTCCCTCCTCTACTTCCCTAATTTTTTATTCAGTTCCTTCATAATTTATTTAATTAGGAGAAAGACAGTGTCCTCCTTTAGGAGTCTATGGTGATATGATTTGTCTCAATGATTTGGGGAAGCCAAGTGTCCCACTGCCCAGAACGCCATTTACCAGGATGCATGAGGACCCAGGTAGCCCGCTGCCAGCAACTAGGGCACACAGTGCAACAGGGCCCAGACACCTGATCTCAGAGCGTGGCTCCAAGGAAGTGATGGAGACACGTTGGGTTTGCACGTGGGGAAGAACGCAGTGCTCAGGGCTTACGCCCAGCCTTGCTGGACACACAGCCCCATCTTTAGTCTCTTTCTGGGCAGCCCACCTGGGTGCATCCCAGACCACCCCTCTCTCCCTGGGCCCTGGTCCAGCCCTGAGCCTGACCCACAGACCCCTTCCTCTTGGGCTTCCCCCCAAGGTCCTGATTACCTCTGAGAGAGGTGCCATGGGGAGAATTTAAGGAAAGCGAAGTGAGGCCTTTTCCCATCAGCCCCATTCTGCCCTAGACACTTCCTCTGCCACCTGTTGGCATATTTCCCCTAACTGTGGACTAAGACCTCTTCCCAGCCCCACACTGCCTATGCTAATGCCCTCCTAAGGGATTTTCCCACAAGGGTCTCCTCATCCTTCACATGTCCTCTCCTCCCTCTGTCCTCTGGCCCCTTTTCCTAACCTCTCTGAGACAATTCTTCTGTCTCCTTTCTTTTACGTTTTCCACATTTGTGAGGTAGTTCTACCCCTTGGGAGGGTTTGGTTTGGTTTTGTGTTTTGACTCTCTCTTCCAATCTTTGGGTGAAATGTTTAGTTTAGGAATTATATTTTCTTTTCAAAAGTTCCTTTTTGCTTTCTGCTTGCTGATGTTTTCAAAACTCTCCTCACTCTGTGG